CGAGAATATTTTCATGGAATGCAAAAATACAATAAAGGAATGGAATACTTTAAAAATATTTCTTATGAATTGTATTTTAAGAATTTGCTTAATAGATACATAATAGAGGTAATGAACACACTCTTATGATGATAAGTTAACAAAAAATAGCGCATTATAATTCAAAAAGTCTTCAGAGTGGCGCTAGCGTCGCAAATGGAATGATATGATGATATTTTTACTTTTTGTATCAACTATCCCATTCTAATAACGTCAAGTACTATATTTGAATACATGACTTCTTGATTTATCGATTTTGGTGGGCATTTTCTAGACAAAGAGTGTGTTCCTTACAACCCAACGTACCCAAAATGAAAGGATTAAGTACATGTTTACGTAATAAAATCATATTAAAAACAATAATTTTAAATTTCCACAGAATAAAAACGTAAATGAAAGTGACAGAACATGGATAAACAATAAAAAAGAGGTTGCTATACAAATTATGAAAAAAAAAAACTTAATAATAAAAATCTAATCTAAATAATACATTAAATATCGGATATGAACCTAAATTTAAGATAGACTGTATACTTATGACATACAGTTAAGTTTCACATAAATGATTGATAAATTACATTCGTCATCGCATCTAATCTTAATATAATTTTTGATCATAACGTCATAGGACGAACCAACACTTGCTCGACATAATTTCATATAACATACATCTCGTATAAAACACTATTCAAATAATACCGAACATTACAAATTGTATCTAAGTAAATTTTAATAAGCTCATTTCATGTGTTACGCTGAAGCATTTGCTAATTCATAGTTTTATTTTAATAGTAGACCGAAATAAAATTTAAATGGCTGCTATATGTATACAACTTTAGTTTGTTGTTAAATTTCTCATCTATAAATGTTTCCTATCTTCAACATATTATGGTCAATTTACGCTTTGACTTATTGATTTATTTTTTTTAATTATAAACATATGGATTTCCAGCTACAGTGCTTTTTTGATACTTTACGCTCAAGGCACCGTTTAAGTCATTTTTATAATTATATTTGCCAAAAAAGCTAAACAACTAAGATTTCAATTACCTATTTCTCAAAATGAGACAGAATAAGAAGTCGGAATGTTATTAGTTCCTTAATTAAGGCCAATTTAGATAAGGAGCAGTTAATATAAATGATCTATTCGTGAAAAGACCGTAGTCATATAAGTGGTCTGTTCGTGAAAAGACCTTAGTCATATAAGTGGTCTTTTCGGGAGTAGAACAAAAGACCCGCGTTCAAAAGAACGGGAAATGACAATTAGACCCAGCATTTAAGTTCTCAAAAAATTAAGCTTTATTAATAGTAAACTAGAAAGAGATTCAAGGCACGTCGTTCATAAAAATGGAATGTTTAAAAAATGTGGAATGCTATATTAATATTAATAAGTACATGATATTATTACTATTATTCGTATAGCGATTGGTCTTGATCTCTAAGCCTATTGCAATAGCTTTATTTATTTTTATCTAATACTATATCTTTTCAATGTCATAAGCAAACGCCAATTTATTTCTACAGCATAAGTTGTTAGGAAACTTTTTGTTGCAAACCTTCTTGAACTATAAAGTCCACTACTGCCACTGTCGCTAGCAGCCGGTTAAAGAAACTGCGCGATACAAAAATTGCTATGTCCGGCTCCACTTACAAATCTAAAAATAATTCATAAAAATTGACAATTCTCATAAAATTTTAACGCTAAACGTTTTTAAGTATGAAAAAACATGAATTTTGACATTATATAGCACCTTCCATAGGAAGTGAGAATAATCTAAGTAGGACATTTCATTCTATAGGTATATGGATGACATACATACATTTATAGGTCAAAAAGTACAGTTAGTTACATTTTGAAAACACAACATTCATTTTTTAACCTTTTGAGCGCCAGGGTCACAAATACGTGACAAGCGAAAACTGTCCCTGAGCGCCAACGACACAAATATGTGACAAAAACAGCGGTACATTAAAACACGAAATAAACTATTTAAACATTACTTTAATGCCTATTTATTTATATACCTGTAAAATAGAAGGTCCAAAATTTATTTATTTCCATAAAACTAATTAAATTGCATTATAAATATTGAGAAATTTTACGTTAAAAAGAAAGAAATAAACTCTGAAAAAAGAATGTCCTCACACGCCAGAGTCATAACTGCGTGACCGCTAGTGATGTAGCGCATGTTGGATAATATCATTATTTTAAATCAAAGATCGATGCGAAACTTTCCTCTGGAATATATTATTTTAGGTATAATTTGGTACTAGGATAAAGCAGCATTAATTTTATAAAACCAGTCTTAAAAATCATTCAATAAGCTACATAGTCAAAAATAAAATTTGGTTGGGTCGAATTTCGATATTCACTAATCCCAACTCGAGCGCATCCCTAACGCAACCCGAATTATCAGTACCCTGTACGCCATGGTCACGACTAGACGACAATATCGTGACGTCACAAGCGCGGCGACCAGAAATTAGTGAAGTGAATGAATAATATTTATGATTAATTTACTTGTGATATCGAGTTCAGAGTTCAGAATGCAGGTTGCATTGTAGATTTTGTATAATTTTGCTCTATTATTCAAAAGATTTATTAGTATAAGACTGATTGGTAATTGTGATAATTATATATAATCGTTAATTGTTTTAATTTGTTACTTTTTATGCCAGGTTTATAGAACTTAATATTTAAAAACATGTATACATAGTACATACTGTGTAACATTTTATTAAAATTTTCTATTTTTTCATAGTTTTTATTTACCTTCTTAACCTATTTCAATCATATATTTTTAAGTACCTGTTACATTCGGAATTATAAATCTGATTTAAAAAACGTGTTTCATTTATTATAAAATAATATTGTACTAGAACATCGATAAACGAGATATTACGTTGCCAGTTGCCACATCCTTATTTCGGAAGCGAAGTAGTTATTAAAATGGCGGGCCGTCCACGCCATGGTCACAATATGAAGACAGCAGATCAAGAATAGTGTTGTACCTACAGTTATTATATTTAAATATATTGTAGTCTCATATCTGTTATTACGGTATTATACAAGTCTGTAAATAGTGTATAACTATTACTTTAATAGGAAGAAATGTAATGTTGAATTAAATTTCAATGTTATAAGGACATTATATTTCGAAATTAAAGACGAAAATGAAAATAAAATTGATTATCGATGAAGGTTTGGAATCCCTATTTTTTTCGTAGGTATTTGCGGTGAATTTGTGGCCTGGCGTTGAGGGCAAGTTCATGCGTTTTTGCTCTGGCGTTCAAAAGGTTAACAAATTCCATAAACATTTAAATAATTAATAGGGATAAAAACTTGATATTTTTAATCTATAGGCCATGATACGCTTTAAAAAAGTGGTATGTATGTCATATCAAACAAAATGGATGGAATTTGACACTTATGAAGTAAATACAACTAATTTTATTATTGTCAATAAGTAACAATTTTAAAAATCATTATTAGAGTAAGTACAAACAATTTATTTTCAATAATAATTTTCCTAAATTTCAAAGAAAATCTCAAAAAGAATGTGATGAATGAACTAAATTAAGAATTGAATGAAAGATTGATTTAGAGTGAAAAGGTGAACGAAACATTGAACGAATGATAAAGGCCTGATTTTTTAAAATTGATATGTTATGGAAAAATTGAGCTAACAATATGGAATTTCATATTTTTCTAATAATGTCAGTTATTTTTTTTTTCTAAAAGGAATGATTTATTAATATTATAAGTACGTAAAATACTATGCACATATAATTAATTAGGCACAATAATTATGTATGCTAATAGTTACTGTGTATTTCGATATTTATGCAAAAAATATGCAATTATTTCTTTTCATTTATAATTTATTAACTCTTCCCGCGATAGACTGCTTCGTTGGCCGAGGGTCTCGGGTTCGATACCCGGGTCAGGCAAAGTATTATTGGGTTTTTTAAAAAATTCTCAGTAGTAGCACTGGAAATGTGTCCGGTACATGGCAATAGGCTCACCCCCTATTACATGGGACTCATAGCATACCTAAATAGTGAAAAGTGGGTGTTACATTGTACAGTGGCATTAAGTGCCCTAATGCCTACCCGTTGGGGGATAAAGGCGTTGTTATGTGTCTTCCCGCAATTGTCGTAAGTACCGACTAAGGACTACACAGAAACCAGGCAGCAGCATTCTGATAAATCTGAGGGCTTCGGCGCTCTGATTGACTTGCTCCAACTACCCGATTCCTACATACCTCTTTCGCCTTATCAAGTCATTAAACTTTTCATGCATGCTCGTCGGTTAAGAGTATTTTTAATTGGCTTTTCTTTAACATATCCTTTAATATACCCCCATGTAGATGAGACAAATAAATGCGCGACGCATCCACTAAGTCAAAATTTAAGAATATTTAGACACCACTGACAAACGGTGAAAAAAAACATCGTAAACAAACCTGGGATAATTTCTAATTATAAGTTTGAAATGGCCAACCGGCATTAAGCAAGTATGGTGTTTAATGCTCAAACCTTCTCCATGTAAGAAGAGGCTTTGCTCAGCAGTGGGTATTTATAGGCTGTTGATGGGCTTTGGTCAGCATTTGCCACTTGGCTGTTGATGTTGACAAACTCTGGCCATCATTAGTGCTATGTTTACGAATATATAACGCTCAATAACTAGTTTAGATAATAGGGTAGATGTCTAATTTTTATTTTAATGTCCGTCTGGTTAATTATTTTAAAACACTAGACACATATTTTTTGTTTTCTTACAGAAACAAATAGTTTCGACGATATATTGATTTGAAATGTCGCGTGACGTCACTTCTATATACATTTTATACGTAGAAATGACGTTTTAACCCCCACTCCTAAACTTTGATTCGTTTTATCTAAGTATTGTTTTATTATATAACAAAATAAAAAATACGTGTCTATTTTTTCATTACCTAACTGACGGACTAATTCCATTTTTAATTTTCGTACGCCGTCATCATCCCAATTCAAGTCAGTTTGTTTGAACGCGTTTATCTCCGAAAGTACTCGTTCGATTTAAGTAATTATTTTTGTGTTGAATAGTGCATTTATCGAGGCAGGCTATAGGATATCAAACATCATGCTATGGTCAATAGAAGCCAAGTACGAAACCACGCGGGATAACTGCTAGTTAGTATAATAACATATTTCTTGCATAAACCATATACTTGTATGTCAATTTGTCCCTAAATATTGCATCCTAAACTATTGTGACGCTAATTTAGCTATTTTGACACTTATTGCAGTATATATAAGGCATATAATGGAATGTTTAGTATATACTAAGAGTTCGAGCTTTTAAATATGTGGTCTTTGTGATGTGGCGAGAGAATGTATTTATTATTTGTATTCATCGATTAATATGCAGTGTTTTCTAAGTAGTTTAATTTTTTACTATTTATTAATGCTAATTGTAGCGAATATTTGTTATATTTTTATTATTATTCAGCAACGTCACTTAACTATTACGTATTTAATTTTAAAACATTTAATCTACAATTGAAAATTTATTTTATGTATCGATTAAATTCAACAGCGGTACTGCACTATCAATCGACAATCCGACTCAACAAAAACCAACTCTATCATCAATGCAAAAAAATACTTGCCACAAACTCCCATCATTAGCCACTTTTTACCACCAACTCACAACATTAGCCACTTTTTGCCACCGTCTCACTACATCACTTGACCACACTCTCACTATAAAAATTTCGCACCATAATATACACTGTATCAACTGTATCGTTCCTTCGCGAGGCGGTACCGCTCTAGTATGTACTAGAGGTGTAGCACTTGTCCGTCGTCTTTGGACGTGACGAACGGGGCGGGGTCGGACTCCTCTAGTGTGACGGCTGTTAGGTCCACTATCTCGTCTTGTTCGTCTTGATCGAATCTGGGGTAAGAAAGGTGGGAATTAGTATAACACACAGATATATTTTTTCTTTACATATGAAAAACTCCATAGGTCTGTTCACGGTGAACTCAAAATTATGAGTAAAACAAAGACTAAAGAAAAATTATGGATGATAAATATGTTTGTAGAGTAGTATATTGCTTGTACTACGTTACCGAAACGAATTTATGTGAAGAATCACCCGGAAATGTTCAATCATGGACATTTTATTAAGTTACTCTTATGTTTTACCTAAATTAATCATTCATTGTTAAGTGTGGGGGAGCCATGCTTCGGCACGAATGGGCCGGCTCGACCGGAGTGATACCACGGTCTCACAGAAAACTACTTGAAACAACGCTTGCGTCGTGTTTCGTCGTGTGAGTAAGGTAACCGTGCGAGGCCTAATTACCCCCTCCCCAGTCTCCCGAATTCCCGAATCCTCTACAATCCTCAAATTCCCAATTCCCAAAAGGACGCACTTGTAACGCCTTGGTGTTCCAGGTATCCATGAGCGACGGCGATTGCTGACCATCAGGTGATCCATCTGTTCGTTTACCAGCTTATGCCATAAAAAAAATCATTGTTAAACGGGATATTACCGTAACTACGCGACATTCATCGCATTGTGTGCTAGTCATGAATATAAGAGCCTAGGGTGTAGAAATTAGTCCACTTCCTCGTCAAACAGCTACCTAAACTAACAGCTACCTAATTTAATACCTCTTACTAATGTTGTAATAAAAAATATAATCCTTTACCTGTCCTCATCAGGTTCGCTGGAAGGTTGTGAGTGTCGTGAGATTGTCTCAGCGGGCGGCGGCGGGCCGGCGCGCTGGTTGGCGGGCCGGACCGTTATGATCAGGTTCGAGGAGTTCGCTACCATCATGTCCGTCACCTGCAAGAGAGATTCTGTTCGTTACTACATTTTGAAAATGCTTAATTAACGCTTTAACCTCTGGTATGTTGGAGCGTATATCTACGGCATTGTGCCTTTTCTATTATGTCTGAGTGAAACAAATGAAACATGTGAATTTATTTCTGCAAATAGGCTACAAGGCAGCAGTTTTACACGTCAATTTTATCAAGCGAACGATGAGGTCGAGGTCTTAAATACCGACATACAAGAAGTTAATGCAAACTGACCATTTAATAAGTAAATGCTCTTGTCAAGAGTACTAAAAAGTCGTTTGCAGAGCTCAAGTTTTTGTGGGTAAGCAATGACTTGAACACTGTAGACTCTGGCAGCATATAACTAATTATGACTTGGCGATCTAAATTAAAGTTGCTAACGCAGTTTATTCGCGGCAATTCTGGCCAGGCTTTCCCTAAAATTGAAAATGGAATACTTTGGCCTAACCAGAAATTCGACCTGAGATCCCACAGAACCCAAAGATTCTACAGTCATGTGAGCTAACCCTCTAACATCTATCTCATTTTTTTATATTTGTTGGGCCGACGTTTGACCACTATCTCGCCTGGTAGCAGTGGCGTGCAGTCCATATAGGCGAAAAGGCATTGCCTACCTATAAATATCGTGAATATATAACATACATATAATGTACAAACGCGTTTATTAAAATTCAATAATATAATAAAAGTTTGTAAAAAAACGGCTAACATAAATACGCGCCTTTGTAAAGTAATGAATGCGCCCCGCACGCACCACGCATGCGCCACTATTCCTTAAATCTTGGTTGGCAGTAGTGACGTCACAAAAGAAATATACCAAAAGTATGCACCGCGCATGCGTGAAGTTCACGACCATAGTCACGGTACAGAATAACCATTCATAATTATATTACGCGATTCCTGTTGATTGACAAAACGTTTGCAACTAAAAAATTAGAGGACCGTTCGTTCATCACTTGGAAAACGATCGTATTTTATTAAGAATTCTAAATACAATAAAACAACAACAAGTTATTGTATTTTTAAAAACAATTAAATCATAAAAGGATTTAAATTGATAAAATTTGTATGTATATCGTAAAGTACTGATGAATGGAGTACACCAGCGCCATCTATTGAATTTTTTGTTGAAACTTCTGAACTCGTTCGATATAATGCGAATGTATTTTTATAAATGCGTATTTAACAAATATTTTTCAAGTGTTTTAATTAAAGTTTAACATTTTTACGCGTTGTCGGTTTATAGAAATTTTAAACGAGGAGTTGACTTTATTATTATAAAAGTTAAAAGGAAGTTATTGATACGTCAAGATGGCGCCATTTACAACGTTTCAAATTATATGAATGAATGTTTTTTAGTATGAAATATTGGTTTAAGACGATGATGCAATTTCATTTGACTTACTAAATTAACGTTTGTTTTTTTGAAATTAAACGCTGCGTTACCTTAATTTTTAAGCTACATTTTTTTTATAATAAACACTCAATTGACTATTGGTAATGACTTCAATTCATTTCCAATGTTTTCGGCCATATTGTTTTCATGTGATGTGCGATCGCTTTGTTTATGTTTTCGTTTAAATTATTAGGAATTAGTTTTAAACATAAAGTTGCATAAATGTGTAGTAGTAGTTAAATATATGTGTAGGTTTTTCAAATAGTGTATTTGTTTCTCAGTTTCTAGTACAAGTACCTATATTATTCGATTGTGAAGTGTGTGTGAATAATAGGTAATTTTATGTGTTTGTTGAAAGTAAAAACAGTAAGATTTCGCAATGTCCTTTATCGGACTAGATTCAGGTAATGACCATAGGCAGAGGTGTACTCGAGTTACGAGAATTGACCCAAGTAAAAGGTAGGTAATGTAAATATGTACTATAATGGATCTTTTATTTGATTTTCTTGTTTATTGTTTGATAATTCTTAAAAATATCAACTTAGACTTCGGGTTGTACTGATTCACATATTAATTTATTATTAATATTTATGTAATGTAGTAATAACAAATGTACCGCATAGACTCGGCCGGCTCGGCCACAGCCGGCCGCGCTTGTTATTGTTTTGTTTGTTGACATAATGTAGGTACCTACGCTCTTAAATTCGTAATATATTATGATTTTGACCAGATTGATTAACCTTAACAATTCCATAATGAAATTTGGTTCATCAAATTTATGCTTCATTATTAAAATAAATAATAGATCTTTCATTATTTGTAAGTTTTGTTGGCTTATTCAATAGCTGATGAAGTACTTCACAAAAAATACGCGAGATGTCAGTGTATGTAATTTGGCGAAACAATACACCACAATATTCTTGAACGCACTTTTCAAAATATATTATGTACATGTACCTATCTTGTGTGAGCATGATTGTATGACCGGCGGGGGGGAGGGGTTTAATCATACGATATTTAGTTGCCTACCCTGTCTCGAAAACCTGTGCACGCCACTG